GCTGACATCCACTGTATTGTCTCCGTACACCTTTAGCAAGTGTTGATGGATGCCAATGGGTACAATTTGTTCGGCAGTGAGAAATTCAATAACACATTTCTCTTTCATATGCACTTCTATGTCAGACGCCATTTTGGTAGACTGCTCTGCTGTTGCTGTCTGTCGCCCGACAAACAAATTAACAGTACATGATTTATTTAATCCATCTTGNTACCACATCGCTACGTCGCCGAACTGGTTTGACGTGGATAAGTAAGCACCTGAAGATGGCATTATTATGCCGAAACATGTAGTGCGAGAGAGAGAAGGAGATAAATGAGTGTATGCACTGCAAGACGGATTAAATAAATCATGGACTTAAATCAGTGCAACAGGACGCTAAAATATAAAATTAACAGTACATTGGCGGGAAGGTTCAACCTTTACTACAACACCACCAACATCCAGCTCAGACGTTACATATTAACACAAAAAAATAGGAGGCATTATATACAGAACGCACCACGTAGATAAACGAACCTGGAAATCCCCTGATGAAAATGTGTTTAATCAAATTGATCACATCCTAATAGATGTAAGACATTGTTCAGATTTGATGGATGTCAGGAGCTACAGGGGGGCCAGCATTGACTCTGATCATTACTTAATAATATCAAAGATTAGAAGTTGAATATCTCATGCAAGGAAGATACATGGATCCCAGGCTATGAAATTGAATTGTGGAAAATTGCAACCAGATATACTGGATTAATGATGTTATTATAAATGCTGCTGGTGCAGTTTTAGGAAGAATGGAAAGGATAAAGTATAAGAAATGGTTTGATGGAGAGTGTGAGCAGGTGACAAATAAAAAAAACCAGGCATATAAGAGAATGCAGCAAAGGAACCATACTCGAGGGGCCGTGGAAGAATGCTGTGAAGCGAGAAGAATAGAAAAAAGATTGCATAAAAAGAAGAAAAGGGAATATGATAAACAAGAACTGATTGATGGAAAAATTTAAGAAGTTCAAATGAAATTAGAGTGTTTTATAAAAAACTAAACAAGAGTCAAAAGGACTTTCAGCCTAGAACAACCTTATGTAGAGATAAAGAAGGCTCGATGTGGAGTAGCAATGAAGCAATATTGGAAAGATGGGCACAATATTTTGAGAAATTATTAAATGGTAACACCTCTGAACAAGTGGAAGGTATGACCATAGACCGGAATCGAGGAATTTTTGAGGCTGAAGAGCCAGCGCCAACCATAAAAGAAGTAGAACAAGCTATCAAAAAGTTGAAAAATAATAGAGCTCCAGGAATGGATCTCATCATGGCAGAATTAGTGAAATTTGCAGGCCCAGAATATGCTAAGCACTTACATCAGCTAATAGTTAAGATATGGATAACTGAAATAATCCCAGAGGAATGGAACCTAAGTATTGTATGCCCTATCCATAAGAAAGGCGATGTCATGGTATGCTCTAACTATAGAGGAATTAGTCTGTTGTGCATAGCATATAAAATATTTTCCAACATTCTATTTAACAGACTCTCTCCCTTTGTGGAAGGCATAATTGGGGATTTCCAATGTGGGTTTCGTCAAGGAAGATGAACTAACGATCAGATTTTCACCATTCCCCAGGTCCTTGAAAAGTGTAATGAATTCCAAATTGAAACACATCATCTTTTCATTGACTTCCGATCAGCCTATGACTCCATAGATATAGTCTTTTTCTGGCAACGGAAGAGATGCACATTCCACGGGAGTTAATCGCCTTAGAGCCACTATGAGAAAGACCCAATGCCAAATTAAAATTCAGAATATGTTGTCCAGCCCTATAATAACTAGAAATGGAGTTCAACAAGGGGTTCCCTAGCCTGCCTTTTGTTCAATATAGCATTAGAGAAGGTAGTTAGAGATGCAGGCATCAACACAAGGGGAACTATATTCTACAAGTCAGTTCAAATTTTGGCATTTGCAGATATTGATATAATCGGTAGAACACAGAAATCTACGAAAGAAGCTTTTCTTAATTTAGAAAGAGCAGCAAAAAAGATGATCTACAAATTAACCAAAATAAAACAAAGTATATGCCAGTAACCAAGAAAGACTGTGCTAATGGACCTGCATATATTGAAATTGGCTCATAAATTTGAGGTTGTATGTAGTCTTACTTACCTTCGATCAGAAGTTAACTGTAAAAATTACATGAGTGATGAAATAAAAAAGCATGTACTTGCGGCAAATAAATGTCTCCATTGCCTTAGGAAACACCTGAAATCCCAACTAATACCCAGGAAAACCAAAACTATGATGTATAAAGTACTTATAAGATCAGTGCTATCTTATGCCTCTGAGACCTGGCCACTGTCAAGATCGGATGAAAGACTGTTAACCCTT